CGAGTGATGTTCTGAATCAATATGACACTTGTATAACTAGTTGTAGACATTAAATTGCAAATAAAAGCTGTTAATGTCCAATATTTTCATCAATTGAGCGTGACACATTAGATATAATAATTATTTAAAGAAATACTCTAGAAATACTCAGCTCTAGCCCAACAAGCGACATTGGTACGGAAGGAGGCGTGAACTTCCTGTTTAATGCTCTTCCGGGGTGCTCTGTGATAAGATTGTAAGGACTTCTGGGAGCATTTAAAATATATAGAAAAATATATATATATATATATATATATATATATATATATATATATATATATATATATATATATATATGTATATATATATATATATATATATATATATATATATATATATATATATACATATATGTATATATATATATATATATATATATATATATATATATATATATATATATATATATATATATATATATATATATATATATATATATATATATATATATATATATATATATATATATATATATATATATATATAGGGGAAAACGGGGCAACATGGCAAACGTTTTGAAAGCCCTGAGTTAATGTAAATCTATCAGTCGTGAAGCAGTAATACTTTCTCAGTATGTTTATGTTATTAAAATGATTCATTGTCTGCATATATATATATATATATATATATATATATATATATATATATATATATATATATATATATATATAGGGGAAAACGGGGCAACATGCCAAACGTTTTGAAAGCCCTGAGTTAATGTAAATCTATCAGTCGTGAAGCAGTAATACTTTCTCAGTATGTTTATGTTATTAAAATGATTCATTGTCTGCATAAATTTTCAGTTTGCAAATTTAACAATTCGAAATAAATATCAAAGTAAAAAGTTCACAAATTTGACAGAGGCAAGATGACAATTATCCAATTTTTGCCAACAATTTTACAAAACTTTAAAAACTACCAATAACTCTAACTAAAGTATCACAAAATAAACACAGATTGCAAAAAACTACTTCTAAAGAAGTTAAACTTAAAAGACCCGATCCATTATGAGAAACCGAAACTGAGAAAAAGTAAACTTGTGTGTATAAAATAATTTTATTAACGCAATTATTGCGTTAATAATATTTAAAAAAAATTAATTGCTGTTTTAAATTATAAGATGCAAATACAGTTTCGTTTTTACTTTACTTTAAGATATTTTGTTGAGTTGTTATATATATATATATATATATATATATATATATATATATATATATATATATATATATATATATATATATATATATATATATATATATATATATATATAATTTATCAAGCACATGTATTATGTGTTTGTAGGGCGCATTGTTAGAGTCCTTCATATTTTATGGACCTGCGTGTCCTTTAGAACATGTATCTCTGTTCTAATAAATTTTAATCTGATTTAATATGAAACACATTTGTAAAAAAAATCAACTTATTTAGGAAAGTTTGTGAAAAGTTATGCGTTAAAAACTGAAAAAAAATTTGACGTTTCTAAATTTTTGAACGCAACTATATCTACAAACCTCGGTAAATTAACCAATATTATTATAAAAAACTTAAAACTTCTTTTTACATTGCTATCTTGCATACGTTAACGGAGAAGCACACAAAAGACTAAAATAATTATATCGTTATTTTAGTCTTTAGAAGACGTTATTGAAGACAAAAACATGTTTCTAGTATAATGCTAACTAACCCATACTAAACTATACCATACTAAACCCATACTAAACCGATTTAAAAAAATGAAAGTGTTACATATTTACTAAGTTATAAAAGTTAAAACATAAAAGTTTCATTTCTACACGGTTTACAGAAAACATTATTCTAATAACTTAAGACAAGAGCAACTAGTAACTCTGCGAAATTTTTCAATTCTCTATTTCTTATCGCGGTTCCTATTTATATAACAAATTAATTCCGAAACGCACCTTAATTACTTTTCAAGACAATATAATTTCTTAAAAGATAAAACTTAAAATCTTGTTCTTAATATAATTGCATAAAAATGAACTAGTTTTCAAAATAAAAGTTAAAGTAAAAATTAAAACTTAACATTATAATTAAACAACCAACAGTCTAACATAAAAAAATGCTATCTATTATTAGTTAATTTAAATACTATCATGAACAAACAATTTATATACGCTCACCAACAAACAATTTATATACGTCATTATATACGTCATTATATATGTCATTATGAGTTTATATTACGAGTTTATACACGTGTGAAAACCCCAAAGATTTGGAAATTAGTTTAAAAGGCCAGATCCTAAAAACATCGACCTTGAACATAAAATTAATTTACTTCCTGCCTATGCTTTTATAAAACTAAAAGATCATAAATCAAATATTCAAATCTTTCTCGCATGATATTAGTTTAATATAAAGTGAGGACATGTAAGCAAAGAATGTTACAAAAAAATAACAAAAATTACTCGTAAATGGATCTTATAAAAAGATAATGATCCAAAGCGTTGTGCCAGATCTTTTAAAAAAGTATTTTAAATCACAAAAAATCAAAGTTTTTAATTGACCTTTATAGAGTCCAGGTCTCAATTTTACTGAGCATGTTTGGGAGTACATCCATCTGCAATTTGTTGGCAGAAAATCAATCAATAAAGACGATTAATTTGTTAAAATTAAAAGTTAAAAATGCTGGCATAACATTTTTAAAGGATGTTTTAATTAATTTAGTTGATTCGATGCCTCGTCTCTACAGCGCTGGATTAAGGTTAAAAAAGTCTAAGGTGGTGGTGGTGGTGGTGGTGGGGCTATAACTCAGGCCCCACCACCGCCACCCAGGGCCCCCAGGCAGTTTTTGGGCACTGGTTTTAAAAAATATATGAATATATTTTATATATTTTATAAGAAACTCTTATTAAATATATTTTATAAGAAACTCTTTGAAAAAAAATCTTTAATTAATGAAATGGAAAGGGACCTTCTGCTTTAAAATACCTCCAATCCCTTGTTGCTTTTGTGAATTGTGATGCTTTAAAACAGTATCACAATTCGTAAGCCTATTCATTAGGCTACCAAATATTGTCTTAGGGGCCATCCATAAAGGACGTCACCATTTTTTAGCCAATTTTTGACCCCCTTCCCCCCCCCCCTATGTCACCGGTTGTCCTTTTTCCATATACCCCCCTTGAAAAAGACGTCATAAAAATCCTGAACCCCCCCCTATTTTTAACTCTAAAAAAATTTATTTTATCTCGCAATGATGTTTGAATCTGCTGCTACACCTTTGAAAAATAAGATTAAAAATATTCTCATACATTATCTTCTTAAAAACACATGTTTACGTAGTTTTCCATGTTAATTAAACTAAAATAAAAAATCTATAAAGTGACGTCCTTTTCTGACAACCTCCCCCCTCCCCTTGTCCTTTTTTGTCCTTTTTAACTCGAACCCCTTTCCCCCCTATTTGGATGACGTCCTTTATGGATCGCCCCTTATTGTTACTATTTTGATGAACAATATTTGTAAATTTTAGTAAAAATACCAGCTCATTTTCAAGCCTGAAAATTATTTATATTTTTCTAAGTTCATAAAAAATTGTCTTTGTAATTCGATTGATCGATTGATTTGATTGATCGATTGATTTGATTGATCAAAAACGCCTTAATGGTTTAGCCTTGTTGAGCGTAAAAGTCTCGCGGGCAAAACTTATGAATGTTGACCAGCTAATTGACCAATATGCAGAGATAAAGAGTCGTCGCAAGGTCTTGGCCATTTTAAAAATCTGGCAGAGGAGTCCAGAATTTGAAGTTTTGCCATTGCTTTGAGAAAGTTTATGAAAATCTATACGTTAAAAATTGAGAAAAAGTTGGTGTTTCTAAACTTTTGCACGCGACTGAACTTTAGTGTTGATAGCGTCTTATAAAGTTATAATTAATGTGAGCTGCCTATAAAAAATTTTCTTTATAATAGTGTTAATCTAAATTACGACAAAATTATATAAATTTTAAGGTTTAATTTTTTTTAATGTCTAACTTTAATTCTTTTTGGAATTTGTAACTTACATGCCGAACCTTAACTATTTTAATTAAATGCTTCATTTAAAATAGTTCATTTTCAAAATTTTCCATATTAGTGATATTTTTTGTTTTAAATCCGAGTTCAACATTATCTTGGTTATTACTAATGTTTTTTTTTTATTTATTTTTTGTTATTCATCTCCTCAAGGCCGAGAAGGCCACTACAGACGAGGAGGCTACTTTTTTATATGTGCATTTATAATTGCGAATTGATACTGTTTTAAAGCGTCACAATTCACAAAAGCAGCAAGGGATTGGGGGTATTTTAAAGCAGAAGGCTCCTTTCCATTTCATTAATTAAAGATTTTTTTTCAAAGAGTTTTTTATAAAATATATTTAATAAGAGTTTCTTATAAAATATTTTCATATGTTTTTTAAAACCAGGGCCCAAAAACTACGGGACCTGAGTTATAGCCCCCCTCCCACCACCACCACCTTAGACTTTTTTAACCTTAATCTAGCGCTGTAGAGACGAAGCATCGAATCAACTAAATTAATGAAAACATCCTTTAAAATATTATGCCAGCATTTTTAACTTTTAGTTTTAACAAATTAATCGTCTTTATTTTATTATCTCATCATTTTATTATTCTTGTTTATTTTTTTGTTTATATTGGTACGAAATGTTAGTTATTTTTTTGTTTTTTCAAAAAGTAACTAACATAGTAACATAACCAAAGTTAATAGTAGTCGGGTCCAATTATTTATCAAAATTTAATAGTAGTCGAGTCCATTTATTTGTCAAAAGTTAATAGTAGCCGAGTCCATTTATTTATCATAAATTTCATACACCCTAATTTTGTTCACTTTGAGAAAGTTAAAAACATTTGTTTTTAAAACATTTTTTGATAGTATTTTTTATTATACCGATTTTCTAAATTTCGTAAACACCTATGCATGAGTGCTTCAAAAAAAAACTTAAGTAACTTACAATGAGTTATAAAGATAGTTTTATGGTTCACTATATTATTACAAAAGGTTTTAACTCACTAAGTAACTGCTTACAGAATGCTAAATTTTGGGGTGCTGAATTAAATGCTGATAGTCCCACTCGTCGTACCATCTACACGATCCTTCTTCATAGTGGTCACATGTTATGCGAGGCTGACCAATTTTGCGATTAGGCAGCCTTGGTTCAGGTAATCTTAACCCAAGAGATTCGAATCTTTTGTAGTAATACCTACATCAAGAATTAAGTATACTTACATTAACACGAAACCTTTCTACATTTAGAGCCGTAAAAACAAGAAGACATTGCTCTATCACTAGATCTCGTTTACATTGTCAAATAGTCAGTTTAACTTGTAAAGAATATAAATGCAAGAAGATAAACTGCAAAATGAAAATATTTTTAAAAACATTTATATAAAACCTTAGACTTACTTTTGAACTATTTCAAAAGCAATTTGTTGATTTTAAAGGGCTTTAACTCTTTTAAGAAACTAGCAAATATATTTACGAATACTCTAGCATTAAAATTTAATGATTAAAATTTAATTATTAAATGGCAAAAAAATCAATAAAAAAACAAATTTAAGTTATTTGTTAACAAGTATACATACCATCTTTGAAGGATATACTTTTTTCCTTTTATAACTTTAGAAGCTTCATGGGTAGATAACAGCAAGCAATTTCCTAAGTCATCCATGTTGTTCCAAATAACTAGACTTCCTTTTTTTGGTTTTATTTTAATTCCTAGTTTTGAAAAAACTGTTTCTCCCCCTTCTTTAACGTCTTGCAAGTATATTAAAATAGTTGCATACCGATCATTTAAAAGTTTGGAGTCTAGGCTGCAATCAGTATGACTTTTATAGCCTAAAAAAAAATGAATTAGAAATTCTGATTATTTAGGAACTTACTTAGCTCAAAAATGAATTAAACAATCCCCTTTTTTTTGCTAAAATGTCATTAAAAATAAATATGAAAGAAAAAAGAACTTCAAATGACATATTCTTATCCTTAAAGGTTAAAGACATAAACAATAGAATTTTATCTATTAATGAAAAAAATCTAAAATTTCTCAAATGGCTAAAACCAATGTGTTTGCATTACAAAAGCATAACTTGAAAATTTTCCATCTACATATAATAATTTGATTTTGTCTTTAGAAAGTGAATTTTTAGAAATGGTAAGCAATTTTAAAGCAATACTCCAGAACATTGAAAATGAGTTCAAGTTGAAGGTAAGGAAGAAGAAGATAATCATGATAATACTAAACTAGAACACCAAAAATCTATTAATAGAATCAGCAGAGGATGATTGTATTTTATATTTAATTTACTACACAAATTTAACTTACAAATTACATCTAGCATTCATCTATAAATTCACACTTACATGCACTTAAGTTAATAGTGAATAAGTATTTTCAAAGTTAAAAATCAGTTAAACCATGAGCCAATACCTGCTGTATTGTAAAGTACTGAAACAGACATGCATCTTGACCATAAAACCGTTATTGACATCTTAAAAGGATCAATTTAATTATTTTGGAAACTGTTAACATAACTTATGATTATGCTAATATGTTTGGAAGTTAAAACTGCTTGTGTTTAGTATATTACATATATGTTAATATATAATTTATATATGAGGTTACATCTTAAAAATACTCAAGTAAAAAGTAAAAGTACTGGCTCTAAAACTAACAAAGTAAAAGTAAAAAGTATTGCTAGACCAAAATATAAAAGTCAAAAAATACTTCCAACATTAAAAAACAAGAAATATGTTTTTAAATCATTTTGGAATAAAGCTTAGTATATATTTAATTTATCAATCAATCATATATTTATCAGATTTGCAGATTTACACTAGATTATAAGGATTTTTAAACTTGATTTCTTGGCAATTTCAATCGCTTTGTTTTATTTTAGGACATGTGCAGTATTTCTAAAGGTGAATCACGGCCTTATAACATATACTGATTCCGGACCTTCAGAGGATATCCGTTGTAATAATAGCTGCTATTCATAATGTTCATCTGTCATTCAAGTCTGGTTTAGCAAGAACACTTGCCTTATTGATTCTATTTTTAAAGACGACAGAGTTTATTAACTGATTGACTATTACTTAAAATATTTCTCCAAACTTGCGTCCTTTTATATGAATTAGAAAAAAAAAATACTGCTGTTAGTTGTAGCAAACTAAATTACTTGCTGGTTGGTTGTTATGATGTTCAAATCCGAATCAAGTCCATTAACTCAACTTTTATGACCTGGTATTCTGCTTCGCCCGTTGAGGAATTTAATGAAGTTAACCATAAAATTCTTTTTCGAATGCGACCACCAACAACATATTGTGCTTAGCTACACAACTTATCTAAAACACTAACATCTTGTGTAGGATCCACTTCTAACAAAACTATTCTAGCTCTTTTAATAATATCTGCTTTTTTTGTTTATATCAATGTACCAGCTTTTTTTATTGTTTTGTTAATTGTTGTTTTTGAACGCATTGTCACCAAATTACCTCGACCATGACCACTCCAACCGTGACCATAATTCTCTTTTTTTTTCCTCTTTGCAATATTTTCTTTTTAAACTTGCCTGTTTACAATAATGTAAATGATTAAAAAGCACTGAGTCATATTTAGCCACAAGCGAAACCATTTCCAAAAATTTACCCTGGAACAGATAGGCCTCGTTTAGCCCAGTCTCATGTACCCTCGTTTGAAATACCAAATTTTGTTTATTGGTTCACGTTCACGTAATCACGTAATGATATTAATAGTTTTTTTCAATATTGATCAATTTCTTATAATTTGTTTCTGCCGCTAATCATCAAGTAAAAATTCCACGTCACTACGAACAGAACAACGGAAAAACGCTTGAACTGCAATGGCATGATTCAATGAGGTTTTATGTTTGATAAGTCTGTTGTATAGAACCTTAATGCTGAAATCAAAATCTAGAATAATAAAAATAAAAATAAAACGAAGTAATAAAAATGAAATTGCTTATAAAGTCTACTGAGCTATAAAATCCCCTAATTAACAGTTAAAACTGGCATAAAATACTTAAAATAACATTGAGATAATTATAAATTATGGAAACAATTTTTGCAAACGAATCAGACTGAATCTCAGTGAAGATGTAAAAGTTGGTGTACCAAACTACACCAATCCTTGTTTTTTTTGTAATCAAAGTTTTGTGTAATCACTAATTCTTTATTTTTGTAACACCAATAACCAATAACTAATAACCAGCAGCCATGGCGCAGTGGTTAGAGCGCTTGCATTAGAAGCAAGAGATCCAGGGTTCAAAGCGAACTTTGGAAATATTTATGCGCCATTGGTAAGGAAGGAGGCTTCCTAGTTAAATGCTCCTCCACAATAATCTGTAACAAGACCGTTTGGTCTTCTTGGGGTACCTAAAACAAAAATTGAAAAAAAAGTATCATTTACACAAAAAATAAGAACAATATAACAATATTTGTAGCAATGTAATAAATAATAATAGCCTTGTTCTGATATGTTACAAATAGACTTTCTCTATTGATTGAAAATGATCGAAAATTTTTATATTGTGCCATACTTTCTTTGAACAAAGTCACTATTTATCATTGTTTAACAAAACTGGTTGAATCAAAAGAAAGAATGGTTCCGTCACTAAACGATAGTTGATCAGGATGTTTTTTTATTTGAAGTAGATTTTGTGATGACTATTTACAAAAGGTAATGTAAAACAGTCCTTCAAATTACCTGTTACTTTATCATCTTTTTATAATTTATCATATCACAATACACTCGTAAAACTAGAAACAGCTGCAAGAGCAACACAACCACAAGTGACGTCAGATATATTTTTATATTCAGAATCAGATGACTTCATTGCGTCTTTCAAAAACTGTTGTGTTTCAGAACTCTCATTATGATAACATGACATTGATGTAATTACTTCACTTTCACATTGACTGTGACTGTACGCAATACTATCATCTTGTGACACTATAGGTACTTCTATGAATAGCAGTTTCATCTACTTGTGACTGTCCAGCAGTATATGTTTATGCTTTTTCTTTTTTGAAAACCAGATTAATATAATTTAGACATTTTAAAAATACTTTTATCCCTTTATTCAAAAACCCCTAGAACGTGTAGTAGTTTATGGACGACGCCTAACAAAAACATCAAATTATGATAACATTGCAAATATTAACTAAATGATAAAATAATCATTTTCAGCAATTTTCATAGTTACTACAGTACTTTATGGTGTACTGAAATAGTACACCATAAAGTTTACACCATAAACTTTACGGTGTACTGAAATTGTAGTAATATACTAGCGGTTTTACTAAAATAACAGCTGTTTATTTCAGTACATTTCAGATTATTTCCGTACAATATTGACAGAATCAACTCTATGTAAAAGAACTGAAAAGTTATTTTTTTTTTCATTGATTCAATATTAATATTAAATTGAATTAAAATTTCCGAGTTATTATTAATTATACACCTCATTCAATAAAAAATGTATCGAAATTAATTTTAATGAAAACACTACAATATGAATTGTTTAAATTAATTATAGCCCTTTTTTCTCTGATACTAATGAAATCACTTGAACACCATTTTTATGCTGATTACTTATGAGTTTGAATCATAAGTTTTACAATTTGAAACCCTTTATCTCTTTCGCACTTATATTTAATATTTGTAAACAGTAAAAATAAAAATACTATTCTGAAAATGATATATATGGGATAAAAGATATCATATTAACACCCCATAACTATATATTTTCAAAAAGATAAATAAATAGAGATTGCGTCTCTTTTTAAAAAAAAATGAAATACCAATGATGGCGGATACAAAGATTACGTGACCTTTGCGAATTTTTTTTTTACAAAAAAAAAAAAGCCTGGCTTCATACCTTAAAAAAAGTTAATATATTACTTATCAAGACTTAAAAATTACCCATGGTGCATTCTGAAAAGAAAATAGATAAAAATAGAGTGCTTAAGCACTTGAAAATTTTTAAGATATCAAAATTTATCAACAACTTGGCCAGGACCACAAAAATTTAACGAAATATAATACCACAAAAAAACGTTTTATACCATGAAAGGCATCAAATTTGCACTCCAAAACTATATATTTTTTAAAAGAAAAACTCATAAAAATTATGAATCTTTAAAAAAAATTAAAATATCAGTGATAGCGGACATTATAATCACGTGAATTTTCAAAAAAAAAAAAATTTTTAATCAAATATTGATTAAAAAATTTTTTCAAAGTTTTGATTAATGGCTTTATTAAAAAAAACCTTTAATTATTGATTTATTACTACAGGGTCGTTAACGACCCGTTATCTTTGTTATACATTTTAACGACCCGGTTTCGGTGCGAAAGAGTTATATACTAAACGACTTTTCATTTTTACAATTGCGTAACACTGGGTAATTACATACATTCCAACGAATAAAATCCTACATTCCAGCAAAAAAATACAGTTTAAAAATATTAGCTATAAATATAGCTATTGTAAAACATATTTTTTTATAACTTTATAATATATTTTATAATAGAGCTATAACAAAATATAGTTTCGAAATCACATATTTTCAACAGAATGAAAATAAATAGTTATACAAACTGTATATTTCATTGTGTTGAAACAAAAAATATTCTTGAAGTAACTAGTTTTTCAGTATCTAAATGCCTTGTTAATCCAGTAAAGTTCTGAAAAGATTATGATTATGTACATAAATTTTCAGAAATTGATTTAAAAATATCCAAACGCAAATTAATGTACATTTGTTCATGAAAGTTAGTAACATAATTTTATAAAAGTTCATAATTTCGTATCTCGATGCAACTTGAACATCTTTTACTTTGGAAACAAAAAAACAAACAACTATAAACTCGAAACAAGGACTACTGCCTTAAATAGACATTTCGGTTGGTAACTTTTTGCCTAGTTATTTTTGTACCTAGTTATTTCGGTACCAATCTCCCCAATTAAAGATAAAGAAATGGTTAGCTTGAAAACAAAATACTTAATGCTATCATAATTTTGTTCACTTTGTTGTGTAAAGTTACTGAAAATAAACATAATTTGCTGATTCCTATATTTACAAGTCATTGAACCTGTTAACCAAAAAGGCCCCCTTTCTTTGGAGGTAAGGGCCTAGGGTGCCATTGCACTCTGAAACCCTGGGCAAGTCCACCACTGATAGCTACCCTCACAACTACTATTTTTTTAGAACATTAACATTTATTTTCTAGTTGTTTTAGATATGGCTTTGTCGAGAAGATGCTGTACAGCTAGTTTTGGCTATATTTGTGGCGAGTATATATACGAGTACGAGTATATATACGAGTACGAGTATATATACGAGTATATATTTGAAAAATATGGAAAACCTATATAAGACTTTGTAAAAATAAAGTTACGTTATCAAGACAAGTTATGGATTCTTTATACTATATACCAAAAATGAGTTGTAGAAATATCTATTTAAGGTAGTAGCCTTTGTTTAGAATTAATATTTTTTATTTTTTGTTTACAAAGTAAAAGATTTTAGCATCGAAATACGAAACTATGAAAACTCTTAATGTTAATAAAATAATCTTTTACTCAACAAATAAAATCAAGAAAAATGAGTTGTATGTCTACGCTTATGGTCTAGTGGAAAAAGGGATACAATATAGTTCGTAAAACCCATGATTTGGGGAGAAATTATTATGACAACTGTTAATTCAACGTTGTGAAAAGTAAACTTGGTAATTGAATTAAGTGGTCATATACTAACTTATCTTCTGCTCAACAACCTCAATTAAAATCAAGAAAAATACAACCCATCACATCTAAATCCTCTGATAACCCAGATCTCTGTGAACCTGAAAATAATACGCCAAGTATTTTGATCTGTATCTCTGATCCAGACTACCAATGTAGCTTTTCAAAACCTCAACCATTAAATCAGAAAGAACTAAATGACATAGTGAGAGATCTTAACTTATTTAAAGAAGATTTTTAAAATTTATTATTTTGTTTAAAAGAGAAATTTTGCTTATTCCAACATCACTTTTTATTGTACCCCAGAAAAGAATCTGTTACAGTATTTTTCTCGAAAAAAGGGTTTACCATTTTATAACAATGTTGGTGGTATTTTGCAACAGATGGAATAGCCTTTAACTAGAAGGTTCACGCCTCCTTCCTTCATGTGATGCATGTATGGCCAGATATGCATACATAGTTAGCTGAGACCACATCATACTTCCTCCGCTTCATACTAAACTCGACATAATGAAACAGTTTTTGAAGGCTCTTGACAAAAGTAGCGCCTGCTTTAATTTTCTTTCATACAAGTTTCCAAGATTACGTGCAGAAAAATTAAAAGCCGGAAAAACTTTGATGGACCACAGATTAGTTAACTCGTGAAAGATCCTAATTTTGTTAAATAAATGGCTGAAGTCAAATCAAAAGCTTAGAACTCATTTGCTTTAGTTAAGAGTAATTTTCTAGATAACAAGAAATCTGACGATCAAGTCGAGTTTGTTGAGCACTTGCTATCGAACTTACAAGATTTAGGATTTGACAAAGCAAACAAAGTTTTAAGTCGGAACCTTTGTTTCAAAGATACAAGAAATTAGGTTAAAAAATAAAAATATTTTGTAAAAGTCTAAAAAGTTAACTAGAAAATTAAAACAATGATAAAAATCTTTTAAGTTTTAGAATAATAAGATACTTTAAAAGTTCTGAAAATATTTTAAGATTATAACAACCACAATGATAATAATAACAACAGGAACAATAAAACAATAATATTAATAATCATAATAACAATAATAATAAAACTAATTAACTACCAACTCCTTCTGGATATGACGTCACTTGATATTTTCCACCGTGGGTTTGCAGCAAATTTGAAACACTTTCTAATCTTTTTTGAAGGCTGTGTGAAAATTCACTTTCACCATTATAGAACGAAGTACTATAACTGTATTTAAATTTTCTTCGAATATTCTCTGAAAATGTTTCATTGATGCATGTGGTGCCTTCAGTAAAATCGTTCTCTGAAACACGTGCTTTATATCCAGAATCGTGCAAATATTTTCTAAAAGAACTTATTCCGGAAAAACAAAAGATAGGCGGAAATGCTTCAGCGCTTTTAATTACTTTAAGATGAACACTTGAAATGCCATCGCACTCCAAGTTGGACAAAAAATTGTCAACAATAAACACTTTGACTTTATTGTTATTACTTTGGACCTCTCTAGGAGTCAAATTTCTTCCATCAACCTCTAAGGATCGCATTTGGATTTGTTTAAGTAAATTTGAACTTTTTGGTGTACTATTATTTGTCACGCTACTTGGTTGATTATGCACCAATCCTGAATTATTCGTCATAAAAAAACGCGACATACCGAAAGCAGCTAATCCAATTAAACAAAAGTAAAACCATTTGAATTGTATACAAGTAGGTATCTTCTCTTCATCTTTAACTTTTTGGGATTTTTTTTTACGGATATTCGCCATTTTTAAAATTAAGTTTGAAATTTAAAAAAAAAAAAAATTTTTTTTTTTTATAACTTGATGCATTTTTCTTTACTTCGTAATTTAATCTTTTGTAAATACAACTTTCTTAAGTTTAAATAACTCATACTTTAAACAAACAGTCTTATTTGTCAATAAAATCATTCTTAAAAGTTAAGTTTACTTGTGTTTTTCACATTTATTATTTTCTCTCCTACTTTTATAAAACTTTCTCAATTTTAAAAATATACTTTGCTGGCAGAAGAAGTATTAAAGACTTATTCGTTTTTCATTATTTATGTGGATTAAAATCCAGCCCATAAAGAAAATACATTCAAAATCTTATTTAGAAATACCTAATCAAAATATCATCTTTGACATTCGTTTCATCTGACGTTTTGTACAAGAACATATTTCATTTACAACATACGTTAAATATAATTTTAATTTTCATTTACAACATACGAAAAAATAATTTTAAAAACAAATTTTGAAGACGAAATATATTTTATTCGAGAGCGCGTTTACTGTCAATACTATAAAGGACTTTAAGCTGATTATATATTTGAATCTTAAATGTTAATTTTGATTTGCTCGGATTCAAAAAGTTAGTCTCATTTCAAACACTTGTAACCAATATATTACTACTTTTGCTTATCTTATTTGCATATTTATGCGTTTGCGATAAAAATTATAGTTCAGTTATTTTTGTTGCACAAAATAACATATCTATTTAAAGATTTTGTCAGGAATATCTGCGTAGTATTTATTTCATTCCTATTGGATTAAATTAAATATAACGTCTATTTTTTTAATTATAAATGTTAGCTCCATAGGATTAATATAAATATTAAATAAAAATTGTTTCAATTCTTTTTTTGTATGTATTTAGGTGCTCCCAGAAGCCCTTACGGTCTTATCATAGAGCACCGCGGGAGAGCATTTAACAGGAAGTTCACGTCTCCTTCCGTATCAATGTCGCTTGTTGGGCTAGAGCTGGAGTCGAACATCGAAACTCTGGGTTCTGAGCCAGAACTCTAACCACTGCGCCACGGCTGCTAAATAATTGTATATAAAAATTATTACGTAGAAAGCGATTAAACATATTATGTCGCGTCTTGAAAGTGTCACAGCTTTTTTTTTAATTTTTTAAATTTCGCTCGAGGCTGAACATTTTTTTTTTTTGAATTTTTTTTTTTAATTCACCTCCTCAAGGCCGAGAAGGCCACTACAGACGAGGAGGCTACTTATTTGTGGCTATAACCCTCTCTCAACTCTATAACTCCGAAACACGAACCTTGACGAACAAGACCGCTGCGCGGAGAAACGAGTTGAGCGCGGTACTACCAGGGACGTGGTGGGGAACGAACTTGGAACCACTCGTTTATGAAGCGAGCGCTCTACCACTACACCACTAATTTGCGCCCCACTCCTAAAACAGGAGGGGCATTTTTCAAAGTCTATTAAATAAGTTACAAGTTACACAAGTTAATGAAAACCAAAAAATTGTACTTAAAAATATTGAATAATTACAGTACTTTACAATTTTTTCTTGATTCAACGACGTTATTGGTTGATGGAAGGCAAGGCGCAAACTAACATTTTTTACTAACTTTTATGTATTAAAAAACATAGTTAGCAATAAAAATAAAGATGCATTGACTTCTAGGCCATAGGTTCCTCCTCTATTGGTAAATGTGCACCTCACTGCGACGCATATAACTGATATATTCCTATATACTGCATATATACCGCGTACCGCATTTATACAGTATTTTTCAACGATACTGCCGTGTGGACAATATGTGAGTGCGTGTGTTCTAAAATGCCAAAATATCTTGCTAAAATCATAATTTTATAAAGAAAGAAGATACGAGTTTTTGGTCTTCTCTTACCCCCATTACATTGACTTTTTTGCTATGGAAACCATTTCGCACTAGAAATTGTGTAGTGCACGTGACCTATTGTAAAAATAAAGAACATACAAACTTTATTTTACAAGGATTGAAAATGTAAAAATGTGAAAAGTAAAATAAGATTTTTTTGAAAAACAAAGTTATATTGCCTGTAAAATCAGTAAACTTACAGTTATCTAAAAAATTACAGTATTTTATTCTGAAACTTCTAAATAATTTTCCAGTTTCTTTGTTAGTATCGTCTTTTTTTTATTTCTTTTTTTTATTTTAATTTTTGTCACAAAGCACCGCAAGAAGAGCATTCAACTAGTGCATGTTACTTCCTTATCAATGACGCGAAATATGCCCAGAGCTCGTTTCAAATCCATAGCCCATGCACATAATATTACTTCTTGCTGCAAAGATACTATTGGTTTTTTAGTGTGGTCTATTTTGCTATAAGTATCATTTATGCTTAGTTCCTGAACTCTATATTTGTATTTGCATTGTAGTATTTTTTCGTCCAAATGATCAAATACTGTTTTACTGTAACCAATTAAAACTGTTTTAAACTGCAATTTTACCTGTTTTAACTGGTTACTGTTTAAACCAATTAGAATGCTTCGATTTAAAGTTATTAAAGGTTCTACGTGCATTTTGCTACTTTATTTTTACAATAAATAATGCAAATCTTTTCTTTTAATATTTTCTTTTTTTAATATTTCATTTCTTTTAAAATATTCGCAGTATGATTAAATATTCGCAGTACGATTAAATATTCGCAGTATGATTAAATATTCGCAGTATGATTAAATATTCGCAGATAAAATTTTGCAAAAGTTTGAAAATTTTTGTTTGTCTCACTAAAGCGAAGCATGTTCAATTAAATAAAAGATATCTTTTCAAAAATCAAAAATACGACGCCAGACTTGGAGTGGGCCGCCGGGATACCGGCGGTTTCCCGGTGGGCCGGTGGCTGCTTGAGTCAGAGCCTTCTTAAACAGGCCGCGACAGCTCATTTTCCATAAAATTACCGAAGGCCGACTTTTTTAGGGGAAAATATAGTTTGCACTTTCTGATATTTCTGCTTAAATCAGTATAATATCTGGTCTCCGTTTTTAAGAAGACCTTGGTTAGACTACATTTTATTTTTTGTTCGTTATTGTAATCAATGGTAAATTAAAATGTTACTAAAAATATAATAACTAAAAAAAAAGTTATTACATTTTGTGGTAATATATAGATTTTTTTTTGTTCTTTTTATTACATTTTAAATAAGCATTTTGTTACAATATTTAAAATACAAATATATAATAATAAAATATATATATACATATATATAATGATCATTATTAAATAATAAAAGAACGCGGGGACTCGTAGAAGACCATAAAGTCTTGTCGTCGAGTACCGCTAAGAAATGTTCGTGTTAAAATTTATAAGATATTTACAAGATAAAAAAATAAGTAACGAAGTAAGAAACTTAAAATATTCCTTTACAAACACAAGATACAATATTACATATTACAGTTGTTAATGATACATATATAACTTTTATAAATTCATGTTTAAATAGACGGTAAAAAGGAAGATAACTAAAAAGTATAAAATGTATATTGTTAAATCTTCGACTGTAAAAATGAGTTCATTAAGCTTTCGTTTAAAAAAAATAGTTACTTTGATGAATAAATTCCTCAGTAAAATTTTTTAAAACTATTTCCATAAGAATGGTCCGCAATTATCAATACAAAATTTAAAAAGATTTGTTTGAAAAATGGGCTGTTTAATAAAATTATCATTGCATAAAATTTATTTTTATCTTTTGATGAATACAAATTATTGAAAGAAACCGGGGATGAATTGGTTTTACATTTAAATATAAAACAAAGAATATTAAAAATATTAAGCTCATATATATTAAAAAATTTCATTTCAAATAATAAAGGCTTGACATGAGTATAACGGTCTTTAAAATATATAAGACGTGTTACATGCTTCTGCTGACAATAAAGAGGTTTAAGTTTATTTTTATTTGTACTACCCCAACCAATGTTTGCATAGCTTTTGTGACAATGAATAAATGAGTGATATAATTGTACTAAAGTATGTTTACTTAAAACTATACTTTCCTATACTTTTTGAAATTTTACTTGAATCCATTTAGTTTTATCAATGTTAAGAAATAATTTGTTTATCTTAAACCAGTCAGATATTTTAATTAACTCGATGTTCACGTAATGAAGTAGAGTAGGAATGTTTTTCCGTGACAGAAATAAATTAGTGTCATCAGCAAACATAATTCTTATTAAATCCGAGGCTTTGTATAGATCATTAATTTAGATAAGAAAAAGAAGAAGTCCTAATATGGATCCTAATATTTTGGATGCAGTTATAAATGGCATAAACTTAACTTAACAAATAATAACCTGTCTAATTTCATAATATCTTTGAAAAAGGTATATATGCAAAAACAATTTTCTTCAAAACATATAAAACTCGTTTTGAAGAAAATAACAACCAATGACTTGGTTATGTAACCAATTTTGTAACCAATGATAATAAGAAAAACTTCTAATAACTGCTTCCATTGATAAAAAAACTCTGGTCTTATCCAAGTGTAGTATCTGATAGGCCCCAGGTGAATTTTGGTACTTTAAGTAGTAAAAAAATGAAAAGAAGATTGACGCCATTAGTTACATCATATTCATCTTAAAAACTATTGTTTGGTTTTGTTTGCGCCAAGATGGCGCCAAGATAGTCAAGAAAAAGAAGCTAAAGCTGTTTTAAAATTATCAGAAAGTTTTGGTTCAAAAAATAATTTTAAATCAAAATTTTTGCATTATTATATACACAAAAAGGTTCAAGCTTTATGCATCTTTTTTATATGGATTATGTAGTAGTTTTATGAAATGTAAAATAGAACCCTAGAACTGCATAAAAAAACTTAAAATTAGTAATTGGGAAAGCGTTAAAATTTTTAAATGCATAAAATAATTTTTAATAAGGCTGCCACATTAATATTAGTCTAGTTTTGAACATTGATGCTTTAAGAAAAGTTACCTAGGCGAGTAACTATGCAAAATGAACCGTTGCCAGGCATTTCAGGTGTCACTATCAACTAAATAAAAAATCTATAGTACCA